ATGAAATAGAATGAATTTATTTCATCCACGGGTAAGAAGAAATTGTGGAAGAGTTTGAAGGAAATAAATTTTCGTCACGAAAAATTCAAAACAGGAAATAAATGTTGAACTGGAAAACCAAAATTTATATATGAAGTATTGATTATTAACAAATATTAATATTTATTCCAATACATAGATTTTAGAAAAATATTAAGAAGTTAATAAACAATTTTGAAGCAGTTTTATTAGCACATTTATCAGAGCAGTATATATTTTAGTGCCAAAAACTATACCGTTTTCAACAAAAATTATTAATTGACGCCTTAACAACTAAATTATGCATTTGGGCTAACATTCTCCATCGGCGTCTCTTTATTCATTGCAATACAGAGAAATCATTTTTGAAAATGCCTATTTTTGAAAAATTACCCAACTTAGCTGCTATAGTACCATTAGAACGACGTGGTGGTTGGAGTTCATCTCAAATTGCCAAATTCTAATTGAGTTGCCTACTGGCTCAGTAAAAAGGCACTTTCGGGACTTGTTACGTAAACTATTATTACTTAACATTATTAACTTCAAATAATAACAGAAAATTTGAAGTGGCATAATTCATAACCAGCTCATTATGTTTGAAATTAGTAGTAGTAAAATTACTTGCGCCAAAATGTCTCTTTATGGCATTTCATAATTCTTTTTAATTTGGAGAAAAACTGTTTCAGCCCCGGGGTAACGCCGTGACGTGTAAAACGCAAGTCGTTTTGGCAGCGTTAATCGCATGTATCATCAGCGAAGATTCGAAATAACCTAATAAGCGTGTTCTTCGGCTAGAAAGTGGTGAAATGGTGAGAATTTTTAACAAAACAATTTATTAAAATTACTTACGATGCTTATGCAATTTTGTCGTAATGCAAGATGTTCTGGCTTGTTACGGCATCATCCTATACTTGGATTAAACGCGGCGGAATTCGCATTAAATTCTCATCCACTTTCAGCCCGTAAAAGCAATCAACGTATAAAATTACGCCTAGTTAACGTAAAATAAACATTGTTGCTGCGAACGAAGCAATTAAATATTAGGATACTTAAAACGAACATTAACAGTTTTAACTTGAATTAAGTTTTTATTATTGTTTAAGTATTATATCGTAATCGTATGATACAATTAATTTGCCTTTTTAATTGTAGGACATCAATAAAGCTAATCAACTTTCCTCCCAGATAGACTGCAACATTATTTTCTGAATATTTTTGTTTAATTTAAAAATATTTGATGAAATCAATCATCACATACCGAAAATTCCGTAGGAATATCTACAACAGAATATAATAAAGTATAAAAAATCAATTTTCAACCATTTTGAAAATTGTCGATAACTTTTTTATTTATGAAAATGTCTTATTTTCATGAAAACGTGATTTGAGTCAAATGCATCGGGGTACCAGAGTTCTGATTTTATATGCATATATAATTGGATATTGTCTTAAAGTCTATCTGGGCTGAGTCGTTTTCAGTCATGTATAAGCAGGTCGTGCATATAGCTATCAATGTCAATGTTGTTACGTAATATGTAATCTAGATTACAAGAGGAGTTTTATAATCCAAATTATGGAAGAATAGCACAAAATTATTGAAATGAGACCTTTAGAAGATGTAGGAAACTATAATCTATATCTAACATCTATCAAGATCGAATTAATCGTTTGGTTCAAAAAGATATTGGATGTTTTAAGCCAAAATTAAGGACAACAATGTCGTAAAATTTTGTTTTCTATGATAAATTGTAATCTGTTTACAATACGATATCTATGCGATTAGTTTATTATAGGTATCAAAGAAATAAATACACAAGCTAATCTAGAAAGTTTAAAATAGTTAAAGCAAATTTCAAATACCTTAAATGAGAAATAAAAAAAACCATTTAAAATTTTATTTTTTATTTTAATATTACTAATATTAATTATAAATGATTTATAATTTATGATTTATATAAATTATAATTTATTATATTTTATATAAATTATTATTTTATATTATAATTTATAAACTTTGTTTTATATAGAAATCAAGTTGGGTGGCCGCTCATCCTTTTCCTTCAAATGATGAACAGATATCAAGAAAACTTATTTGAATACAAAACGTTCAAATGATATTTTGAATCTGTATACAATATTTGGAATGAAAATAACAGAACCGCACTGTGATAAGAGTTGATAAGAATACTTTTTGAAAATATTTAACTTAAAGAATAAGTCTAAAATAAAAATTGATGACAGGGACATTATAAATAACAAGTGTTCTCTTTTGTTATATTGTTAAATAAACTCCCTACATCAGGTATACTTTTTAAATAAAAATAGGTAAAGAAACAAACAACATTTCATGACAAATAACATAACATACAATGCGGTTTTCACATATCACCCAACGCAAATGATTAGATAGGTATTATTAAGTTACGTACTTTGTGTGAAAAATTTAACACTCGTTTAACATAATATTTCGTAATTTTTCCTGCCACAACAATATAATTCCACCGACACAATAATTTCTATTAAAATTTTCGAAACAACCTCTCGAAATCCCGCTATTAATATAAAATAATAATTTAAATATTCGCCGATGTAATTTTCTATGAGGGTAATTATGAATTTTAACAAGTTTACGACCTTTTTCGCGACCTCGGGCACTTATAAAAGCGCGGTTTTCTTAAATTTAAATCGGTAACAACATTCATTCTTTTTAATACATGCAGTTATTTTATTGTCTCCACCATTTCGAACGATTTTTTTCCGCTAAATATTTCAATACAAATAAATGCAATAAACATTCGACGCAGTCGCTTCTTTTTATATCTTCAATCGTTCCACTTTTTAAAAACTTATTCTTGGGATAATTGCATTAATTAATGTTCTTCGCGAAACGGATTACTTGAATCTAATAATTCCTAGTAGGAGATGTTTTTCAGATCTTAAATGTCAAGGCTATAAGGACGAAACACTGTAAAATTATAATTTAGTTTTCTGATAAAATAAACTATTCATTCTCTCAGCAATTAGGTAGCGAATAACCGAAATTTGGAGGTCACAGTTAATTTGACGTTCTAAATTATTGTTAGTAGAAGAATTGTTCCCACGGTTGGTTCCGATGAACAAATATCTATTACTGCAATAGGGAATTGAATTCCTTTTCCGGCCCATACCGGAAAACCTAAAGGGTGTCCATTTCCATTTCTGTCACGAAGAATTTAGAAAATTAAAAAACGCTGATTTTGCAACAAGATGGTGTTTCTTAATTCGTCACTGCTGTATCTTGTAAGCTATCGAAATATGTATCTCCAAAGTTATTATTTCAAATTTACGCTCAAATAGCCAACTATGTTATTGCTGTCGATGCAATGCACTATCATTTTAGAAACCAACATTCGAGCATCGAGGTAGGTATACCCACGAATAGGTCACAGAAAATAAACGTGAGAATGCAATAATGTCACTAACTGGTGCATCCCGAAGCCCTGAACCATTTATCCTAAAGCGCTGTTTACTTTTTCCACGCCGCATTGTCGTCGCTTGCATTGTTCGGTTTACGAAACAATGTTCTCGAAAATGTTAAGGATGTTGCTTTAAAAAGAAATTAATTAACCAAACGAAGTTTCGCTGTGGTCTGTGATCACGTAATGTCGATTCCAGTCTCTTGATTTTTAGATGTCTTTACAAATTTTCAAAACTTTCATCCAGAAATGGGCATTCCGTGTCATAAGACACAACCGTCAATAATCAAACAATTTATTTAAATTCACGTGACGCACAAACACTAGGTAAAAAAGTAATAATGAAACGAAAAAGGAATAACTATAATTTATTAACTAATGTTGATATATGTCATAGCTAAATTTAACACCAGTTTATTTGTTCCCATCATTTTGTAAATTTGATTATAAAGGTAAGGGCTACATTTCTCGCATTTCATGACGTCATGCAATCAGAATTACCAAATAACATATGCATCTTTGTATACGGATGACCAAGATCTCTGACAATGTGCACGGTAGGTAATTATTTCAGCTATCAGATCGCGAAGATGTGCCTGGAAATTAAACGAATCTGGGTTAAAACAATTTAACACGACCAGTACATCGGACGACATCGAGGTTAAGTATCGGGTATTGCGCAATGATGCAGCGACTAAATCTAGAGCAGAGATTAATTCATGCAAGGAATGCGTCTTTTGCGCAAGAAAAAATCCGATCGTCGTCGCTTTTTCGATCACTCGTCAAAGGTTATCGCTAATTAGCGGAACACGGCAATAAATTGAAATATGTATTACATTATACGCTAGTGATTTATTGAGTTTATTATTGCAAATCTACCTACCGGCGTAAAATAAATCCTTTTGAAAAAACCGTTACAAAAGGCAGCTGCACGCAGTTTCAGGTCAGCGGTTCATTAATCGCGTGTATCAGATGTACACGCAAGGAATTTATTGATGTCCATTCTTCTAAGGTAACCGCATTAATAAATTCAATTTGTTTTACGGATAAACAAGACGTGCTCGCGGCTCACGTTCGCAGCGAACATCGATCCTCTTCACTTTCTCCCAAGACCTTTGCCCTCATTTTGCCTATTAAGTAAGAATCTATAAAATCTATTGATGCGCTCTGCGGGATATCTTGCATATGTTACGCGATAAATGTGCACACCGATTTCCGTGTGATTTATTATTTACGCCAGTCATATTTTCAAAACGACAAAATCCCATTTTTGTCGATTAGCAGTTGTGTCTGTTTTATTTTCTTTTGTAGCACCGAAGGTTTAAGATTATTTAAGATGCAATAAAACTACAAGTATCAATTATTTAATAAATACATGTTATAAAACATAACTGAATAATAAATAGTAAAGCGATACGAAATAAATAATTCTGCTCTAAACAATAGTATTTCTTCTTCTTTTCCTTCCTTCCATTGACCAAGCTACTATTTCAAATAGGTTCATCCTCAATCAATTAGAAAGAAGAAGAAGTGGTCTACAATTTGGAGGTTATGGCTTGTTAAATTTCAAAAATGAAAAAATTATTTGGAAAAATAGGACGCCAACTCTGCCAACAGTCAATCCAAAGTTATGTTAACCGGAATGGGGTAAAATTGGCAAGCACCTATAAAGCTTCCGTTATTAAAGAGGCTGGCAAACCGTTAGTTATTGAAGAACGAAAACAATCCAAATTAAAACCCAATGAAGTTAGAGTGCAAGTTAGCTATTGCAGCGTTAATTCAGCCGATTGCTATAAATTTAAGCAGCCGGGAACTGATTTGCCGTTTATTCCGGGTTACGAACTCTCGGGAGAAGTAACTGAAGTAGGTTCAGATATTCAGCGACAGCAAATTGGTGTGGGAGAGAAAGTAGCATCCTTGAGTTTGGAACATTTTGGAGGACTTGCTGAACAGTGTGTGGTACGACATAAAATACCCCACCTTTTAATAATTGCTCATTGTGGTATATTGTGATAGCTCAGAATAATGATAGTAGATATTTTTTAGGTAAATATTGGTGATGTATTTAGAATTCCTCCTGAAGTGGAGCTGAAAGACGCGGCCGTGTTATCTTATGGTCATTCGCTAGCTTTGTACACCTTTTCAAAACTATCAGAATTGAAAGAAAAAGATCAGGTTATTATATCTGCAGGACCTGCCGGTTTGGGATTGGCTGCTGTAGATGTAGCCGCCAATGTATACAAAGCGCAGGTTATAGGGGTTGTAGATACTGAAGAACGGGGAGAATTAGTCAGAGAAAGAGGAGCATTTACAACTGTACATTTTAGCCCGAAATTGGTAAAAAATATATTAGCGAAAACTGAAAATAAAGGGGCCAAAGTAGTCTATGATGCAGTTGGAGAAAATTTTATGGAAATAATTGGCGACTGGTAAGCATGGGCTTTCATTTTGAAATCATGTAGGTATAGGTTTTATTTTTTTAGTGTGTCTGTTGGTGGAAAAGTTTTTTATGCTGCCCCCTTCTATTTTAAAACTATACCTGCACCGGTGCCTCATTCGTTTGCTACTATTGTAAGCTTAAAATCTCTTAGGAATCAAAATCCACACTTATACAAGACTGTTATAAATGACACCTTAGAGTTGGCAAACGAAGGTGTAATTAGTGCACATGTTAGTGCGGAATTTAGTTTAGATAAGATCAATGATGCAATTAAATTTATTGAAGATAAAAAATGTACAGGCAAAGTTGTGATTAAAATAGATGATTAAAATGTTTTTTTTTTCTACATCTAATCTTTTGAGACCATACAACATGGATAAAATGTGGGTTAGTCTAAAAGTCATCTAGAAACTATGGTTACAAGTAGAGTATTTTAAGGAAGCTGAGATTGGTTAAAAGCAGTAAGTTCCTTTTCTCACGCATTCAATGTCAATAATTGTTGGTTTTTAAAACAAACCATTGAATAACAAATTCATTTATTATCACTATTCCAAAACGAAGCATATCACATTCCGCACAAGGTGCAAATTTAATCAGGAAGGTACATAGTTTAAAAATCATAGTACTGCCATTGAACACTAACACTATAAACAACAAAAGGAGGGTTTTGTTTAAAAAAGGCAAAAAATATGTATAGGCATATTTTTAATCTATGGAGAGTAAATGCGGAAAGTACCTGACTAAGGTACAATAATTAATATATACAGTTAATAAAACATCAGCAGTCTAGGCTGACACCAATTAATTAGAACCGATAAATATATATTTTTATAAAAAATATTAAATTGTAGGAAACCCACAAAACAGGTTTTCATATTATATAATGAGGTCCAGTCACAAAATTATCGTTCACTAAGTTGTATCGGCGTTCTCCGAATTTGTAATACTACACGATTCCACGAAGACACCTCTACCGTTGCTAGAAATGTCTGCATAGTCTTTCTTTCCCTTGGAACACAGCTTTTTGTTAAATTTGGCATCACGTTTCCTGAAAGAAAACATTATAGATAAAAACAATAGACGACTATAACTGCAACTTGACCCTGACATTGTCTATGTATTTATTTTATCACATCGATAATTTCGTTGCAAAAAATAAATAAACATGATAATATATTTTAGAATAAAAACGAACACAATAGACGAATGCGGTAAAATAAATTTTAACTAGTAATTATTGTAAACGAAATATTAACCTAAAATCAATAATTTTCACAAACTTAAGAACCCAATTACGTCGATTTTGGTAAATTGATTTTTCTGCTTATCTGTATGCTAAAAAACTAAAGTTTTATATACTGAAGTATTTGAACATGGCAGACTATAACAATGTTTTGTAATGTTGTCGGCCCGAGTAATACTAAAGAAGAATTTGTTTTATGTAAATTATATAGAAGGATGTTATAAAAAAAGCCTCCTTAATCAACAAACGAACTTTAACAATAGAAGCTTTTGCTTAAATATGGTTTAACAAGAACCGATCACACATTTCATAGCTTTTCCTTAGACTTAATCGATGGAATAATAATACAATTAAATAAAATTAATACCCTCGCCCTGGCAATTCCAACTGATCCACCGTAACACTCCTCACATACAAATGATCGTTACACCAAAACAAACACAATGTCTTGGGCTCCAAGACGTTCATGTCGTAGATCCAGTTCAATTCAACTTTCCTAACGGTCCCAGCCAAATCCACGGGGTGCGCTACCACGGTAGTGTAGACGCTTCCGTGGGCCAGTTTGGTTTCGGAAGGTGTCAAATCGACCCTTATCACACCGTTCGGACTATACATGGACGCTTTCAGACGACCTTGGACCCAGTCTTCAGCGTAAGCTGGATGAGCCAGGTCTACCGTGACTTTATAGAGTTGTTCTGCAAATAGAATGCTCGTTAATCATGTTACTTTCTTTAAACTACTGCGTTTTTTCATTTCTCTAATAGATTGAGTCAGGTGGAAGGAATCCTACGAATTATAGTTTCATTTAAAAATTTTTAAACCATTTAGTCAACCAGTAGGTAAAACATGGATTGTCAAACTTCATTTGATAAGAACTTAAAGCATATGCTAGATGTGATAGTGATGTGATGTGATAGACACAACATTTTCATCGTTTTCGGCAGAGTCAAGCGTTGAGTAAGATAAGTTTTATGCCCAGAATAATGGTTCCTCCACGCTATAAATCATGGCCTCGATCTTCAAACTCAAAATCAATAAAATATGTGGACACTTACAATCAGTCACCTCGTTCCACTCAATTAAGGCACCAAAATTACCATTAAGAAAGAGAGTAAAAACTCATGCTTGCAGTTTTTAGATATCTGAGTAAAAGTAACGGATCAGTCAGCCATGTATACCTAGTTATATTGAAAATATCTCAAAATTATCAGTCTAGCCAACTAGCAATGACAATATGGAATATTAAAACATATTTACTGATTTTTTTTTTTTTGAAATTATAAGAAACAATTGTGAAAGATTCGAAATTTACGAAGTGCGTTGACAAAAAGCAAACGCGAAAGGTCGAATCAAAAAAGAGAGATTTTATCTAGCACGTTCTAGTACTTTCTCAAATATATTCGAAAAACACAGAAAACACACACCGAAAGACAAAACATTGTCATCGGGAATAGCTGTTGGGTCGAAGCAACTCAACATAAAATAAGCAGAGGTCGGTGTTGTTTAGAGGAACCCTTGCTGGAAAAAGTAGCAAATTTAATTAAGCCGTCTTCGTAGCAAACAATATAAACGTTTTTAGCAGTCCAAGTGTGGAAATGCCAGGGATTTAGTAAACACTAATAAAACCCAACAGTGCTGACGTGGACAATTTCAAAGTTTTTGTTTAAATTAATAACGCAGAGTGATCCACCCGTATGAAACATCTATAGTCTGTCTCAATCTTAAGGACAGAACATTGGGGACGGACTCTCAAAGGTTTTGGTAATAATAAGTTTTTTTTTTGTTTATTTAGGTGGGTACGATCATTGACATTAATGAATATCTATATGTAATTATATTTTTATTCTAAATGTCTAAATGTAATTCTGTTTCACTATCAGAATCGTCACTGAGATTAATTATAATAAGCTTTATGTTGTTTTGAATAGAAATATAAGAATATTTCAAGCTCTCAATTGGTATGTTAATAATTTTTTTTATCAAATTTATAACACTGTGACTTCAAGTAGGAGTAATATTTTTGGCTCTGACCTATGGTGTCAAACATGCAATACATACTTTTTTTTCATTGCATATGAATTTAGGACTTCCAAAAGTTGCGCTTTTTTGTAACTAAATGTATCAAAATAAATATATTTCAAAGAAACTTCCACAGGCTACTATAATACTCTTTACAAAACTTCTGGATTCCTCCTGCGTCAGTTTTCGCTGAGTCGAACTTGCTGACGCTTCGCCAATCATCCTGTTGGCGTCTTCAGAATTTGACTGAAACTTCGACTTAGCAAAAACCGACGCCGGAGGAATCCAGAAGTTTTGTAAACAGTAAAAATTAAAATAAATATCATTTTCTAACAAATATTCCATGGATTTCAGTTTTTGAACTTAATGAGTCTTTCCATGACAATAACAATAAAAGATTGTTTTAAAACCAATTTTTAAAAAGTTCGGCGCTTGTATCCTTATGATAAGCCAAGATGGAATCCTTAATATTCTTTGCAGACAACAGCAAGCGGATTGGTACAAATCCGTCTTCTGACCCGGTGTTATTATGATGATGCGTTTCCTTTATTTGATGGTGCTTTCGTCTGACATTTTTGAGTGGAATCAACCCATCCTTTGGATACAGTGTCGTGTGTATTGAATCATGCTTCATCAAGGTAAATGATGGATCTGTTGTCTTTTAATTTCTTGAAGATAATTAAATCCCCAAGTGCGTAATCTGTGTGATTCCATTACACTTTTTATCTGTTTTGCGGTACTTAAATCCTATTTTACAACCAACTCTATGGAGGGTGGATTTCGACGCGGCATTGTCATATTCTCGTAAAATAACTTTTTCGAAACACACAGTAAAAACACTCACAACAGATCAACATTCAAGAAATATATCAGAAAGAAAAAATATACCAGCTTTGTCACTGAAGGAAGAATAATTTTTTTGTTAATAGCTTTACCCAATAACAATGAAGATTGAGACAGACTATAATTAAATAAAATAAAGACAATGGAATTTCAAAGCCTTTTTAGTTCCAACCAGGAAACATGTTCTCCTACATTAAAAAAAAACACTTAGTGTAAATCTTGGCTTATTAATGACGGTGATTATATAATTTCGGAAATCTTGTATAGTAGAGAATTTATTCTAATAAGAAAAGGCGAGTCTAAAAAAATAGTAAACCAAAATCGCAAATGACGTATTTACGGCGATTAAAAACAACTTTCGCGGCAAATCACATCGGTAGGAGTATCTATTGTCTCCATGCAGGAGTCCGCGCGAAATCTAAGTTTGTTTGTTCCATTACATCGACGGGATTTAGAATGGATAAATCAAAAACAGCAGGACCACCGTTTGCGACGCGTTAATCTTGATTAGTCCAATTCCGGGATTTGTATAAATTGTTCTGGACGACGTGGATCGGCCTCAGTATACTCCGACGGTCTCTCAACATGGGTTACATTGGTATTTTTGGTTGCTTAGTACTATTCTGTATTTTATTTCATCATGGTAAGTTGATTTTTTTAAGGGTGGACAACATTAAACAATATATTGTCATATTAAAAGTTTTGGTTAGTTATGTTATAGTAGTTATAATAAAAAACATAGTAAAACGTATGTTACATCATCCGTGAATATATCATTAACTATGATTTTAAAACTGTTGTGAATATTCTAAAACAGATTTAATCTATACGAAGTATAAAATAAATAATTCACTAACACTTAGATACGTATGTACAGCAATACCATGTGAGACATTTCAATTGGCAGTATAGTTATTTTTATTATAGTAAGCACTATCATTTTTTATTCTTGTACATACAAATTTTCAGAATTTAGTTTTTTAGTTTCCTTATTAAAAATATCAGTTGGGATTTTTCCTTAAATTTCCCGGAATAAAAAATATACATTTGCATTTATTATGAAGCCAGTTATTTAAATCTAAGTATTAAATTTTATATGTAGATTAATAAAACAGATAACACTATAAATACTCATGCGATATTCATACCCCGATTGAAAACTGTTGAACTTTAAATATTGCGTCAGGGTGAAATAAATTTAAATTGAAAAATATATTTTGGTTACTAAAAAAATAAAAACCCCACATGCGTTCTCGAAATTGAAACACGGTTGGTCGTAAATGATTAGCAGTGGACGCTACCGACAACTCATTCGAGTTGGGAGAGAACAGACGGAAAGACGCCTATCCCATGTGGTTCGGTCCGAGGGTGGGGCGGAAAAAACGAAACCCCATCGAGAAAATTTACAGGAGCGACAAAAACCACCAGCCAGCCGAAATAATAGACGTCCTCAAAGAATCACCGCTGGTGGTCGTAGCTGTCAAAGAAGGTAACGGAAGACAATATTTAGGCAAATTAACTTGATGCTGAGCAATTAAAAAAATATTTTAAATATAAACGGCTCAGGACAATACTGTTGTTGATACGCGTACGTCCGATTTTTGGCAACATTAATAATGACGAAGAATTGATTTTGCTATAACTAGATTAAAACTGTGGATTCCAGTGACATCTCGAATAGACGCGATATTGTTTTTTTTTGCACTTTTTTGTTACTTATTTTGAATAAGCTACTAATTGTATAACTCTTTAGTTGTTTAGAATCGTCAATAGGTTTTTTGGAGCATAAACATTAAAATTCTGATCATTTGTTACACAACAAACTTAGTTTTAAAAATTTACACCCATCGGTTCCATCGCAGGTTTAATTATTAAAAAGAAAAAGAAACATGCAAAACAGTTGCCGATGCAATACCAAACATTTAATTAAACTTAGCTGTCATACAGTAGGGTAACTTTTGTACTGTTTCCGTAACTTTTGTACTGTTTCCGTGATTTTATCACTAAATGGCGCAGCATGCAGCATAAAATTTTGCACATCGTAGGTATTCTGCAAAATAAGCATTTCTAGATTTGGTTGTACATGAAGTAATTTATTGAATGGTGAAATACGCAAGTCAAGAGAAAGAAATGGCTCATCGCGTTTTCAAGAAGACAATTAACATAGCCGCTGATCGTCAGTTCCACGGTTTCAGTTTTTGCGGCGGTGTTTTCTCAAAATAAACTCAAATTTTATTCAAACTCCAGGAAAAAAATAGTTTTAGATGTGGAGATCGCTTTTCAGAAAGAAGATGGCGCAAAATGCGGGTTGGTGTGTGAAATTTAGGGATATGCGTGTATGAAAATGTCATAACCGCCTGAAGAAATTGTACGATTATTTTCGGCCCCTGTATTATCTAATAGTTATATGAGCCAAAGAGATTTGATTTGATTGATTTGGCTCTGGCCGTAAAAGTTAAATAGAAAACATCTTTAAAATTTTCGAATTAGGGTTAGCACCTCTTTATATTTAGTACCAACTTTTGGTGAAACTTATTGTAAGCAAAAGATTTTTTATTACCAATTGTAATGAACGTTATTATTACGTTTTCACTGGAAAGTTTCTTTTGCAACGTTTTCGTATTCTGAATGTGGTGAAACTTTAGGTAAGCAGCACAACTTCATACCGAGACTGGGACGAGATTCGGGGGAAGATGTGCCGTGGTTACAAGAGTCGGATATCGAAGGGGACGTGATGACGCCGAGATCATCGGGATCATTGTTCGCACCCAGACTGGGCCGGACCTTATCTCCGTATACGCCACGAATGGGAAGAAATAGCGATCTCGATCTAAATTAAGCAAAAAATGTCATTTGAAAGTTGATAACCATAAACTATAACTAGTAATAATAATAAAGTGACTTTAAATTCGTAATAAACAATTTCCAAAGCGATACGTGTTGCGTATGAACTTGGGGGGTCACATTAATAACCTTGCTTTTATTTTTAATTTGTTTCAAAATGAGATAAAATGTCGCTGAAATGGAAGAAAAGTGGCCGGGTATGTATATGCCAAAAAATGGTTTAGGTTTGATTTATTTTAAATCGATACCCTTACCTAGATACAGGGTGAAAAAGGAAAATGTCCATTTTTAAAAAACCACAACATTTTCATTATTTATTGTTATTTATTTATATATATTACGGCGATGCTTTTGCCTTTCTTAAGGGCGCCATATTGAATTTATACATTTTCAAAATCCTATTTAAAAATGTTTTTCAACCATGTGGAATAATACATAGGTATATGTTTGGTCAAGAAAAACATTTCATTTTGATATGGCTGCGTTTATTTTAAATCAAGTTGGCAATGCCAGCGCATCGTGGACTGTTTTATTCTCTGTCGCAGAAACGGAGCAAAAGCCGAAGAAATGTATATAACGCTGTCTAAGTGTCTGAAAGACAACAATGTCACCTCCGGGAGTTTTGCTAAGGAAAATTTGGTCTTACAAAGCGTGGTGGAATCACCTCGTACCTCTTTACGTCAGATTGAAGACACGAGACGTTGCTCGGTCAACAGCGCCATAGATATCATTCTTTTCATGAACGGCCTTGGCAGAGACTTCAGGATGGCGATACTGTTAGGTGAATGCCATTGAGCAGTGGCTTATTCAGAAAAATATAGGGATACGAAACTTGTTAACAGCCCCTTGGTCGGATGAGTGCCTATTGTGGACTTTTTATTCGTAAGAATAATGTATTTTGTAAGTCCACGGCTAGCTCGTGAAGTTAGGCATCAAGTGAAATGGGGATTTAACGTTTGGTTGCTGTTGAGTAGAACTTGTCTGTAGCCTGTAACAGAACATAACAGAAGATCTTACGAACTTTTCGCTAGCGGCTCTGCAACAGATGTTTTTCCGACAAGACGGCGCACCGCCACACAATGCACAAGGACCAGTCAGGTGACCGGCGAGATTCTCAGACATGGCACGCCTTGATTTCTTTGTATGGGGTCATCTCAAAAATCAAGTTTACAGTAGGTCCTATGGAAACGTTGGAGAAGGAGGAAAAGCTGTTACAGAAATTGTTAACTGCGCAATTGTTACGACAGGCCTGCCAAACAGTGTTGAGAAAAGGTATGTTACGCGTGCAACAAAACTGCGGGTTATTTGAACACTTTAATTTTATTGTAAAATTCTGTGTATTTTATTCGTTTTTTGTACTTTAAAGAAGTATAGAATCTTTAAAGGTATGTATGAAAATTTTACTGACTTCTTTTTTCTATCCTGCCTCTTCAATTTTATTGACATGGGAAGTTAAATTTATAAAATAATTGAAAAAAATGCGAGTGATATGACTACTAGTACTAGATAATTTATACCCCTACCAAAAACTGCCTTTCTCATTTTGCGATTTTTCTTTTGATATGCCTATTTATACGTACTTATAGAATATAATAGAATTGCGTTTTATATACATAGCAGTACATGGAAACTCATACAACAAGTTTAAAAAGAAAATTAAAAATTCTGTAACATTGTAAAATGAATGTTGAATTAGAATATTTTCGAATTTTTTACTATTTAAGTTTAACTGCAACTAATATTACTATTCTAGTATTATATAAATTATAAACTTAAAACCTTGCCAATTTTTAAAAAAAAAAATTATATGCAAACTGATGCATATTAATAAAAATAAAAATAAGGCCAGAAAATGTTAGTAGTTTGCCAGTAAAACTTGCAGAATAATTGCATAAATAGTGGTAAAAATTTGGAGAGTCATATTACTACGTACTAGATAATTTTTATCCCCTACCTTCCCCATTTTACAATGTTTTTATATGCATTTTTCTAGCAATAAAAATACTAGTATTAGATAATTTATACACTTACAAAAACTGCCTTTCCGATGTTTAATTTTTTTATATGTAAAATAACTTCGACTTCCGCCAAAGGCAAATCAATTTTTGAAATATATTATAATTTTAGGTAAAACATCTTTCAAACATGATTAATTAAATACGATTAAAATACTTACGGCAGAAGGGGTAATCTCTTCCCGTAGCCAAAAAGTACTTATTGCCGACAGCCTCTTGCAGTTTCGTGTGGGGCTGCACCTCGTTTTCCAAAAATCCCAACGAAGTGTCGGCCTTGTAGCCCATGACAGCGCACGACATGCCCGACTTGCAGTCGAAACACTTGCCCGACATGAACTGCTTAAAATTGGAACATTGCCTTCCTGCAAACAAAGCGTTAAAATACGTTTCGCGTCCATCTTATATTAACCAACTGTTTTACCTATGTACGGACATTGCGTGTTGATGCTGTCGATGAACAGTTTGATAGCTCTCACGTGATTGCAAGCGACGAGAACTCTGGACGCTTCTTCGAGTCCGTCTCTACAAAAATGCTTTGTCAGGTATTCTCCTTCAGGTAGATATATATATATATATATATATATATATATATATATATATATATATATATATATATATATATATATATATATATATATATATATAACTATTAGATAACATTGTAAAGTCTGTTCATAGATATAAGAAAGTGACTAGCTGATACGAATTAAGGAAAGACCCTTTGCTTAGAATTTAATTATTTGGGGTTTTGTTAGGAAAGATACTAAACAATATTTATCTATTTACGTATGTATTTATGTTTAAAACTAGAATAAAATTACAAATTATTTTTATTACCTACTTAAATTACTTAAAATTGTTCACATAATATATCAGTATCACTATCGCTATCATGGCCTATTCTAATTATTATTTGTTCTATATTATTTGCAATATGGATATACGATTGTTCTGCTTTTTCTATATGTTTAACAGAGTTTGTCCAACTTTGTGAAGGGATGTTAAAAACTTCGGTTTCTATAAGTTTGAGGACATTGGAGTTAACACGGGGAAAAACATTATTACGATGAATGGCAGATTTCAGTTGGTGCCAAACAGGTTCAATGGGATTAAATATACAGTGGTAAGGTGCAAGCCTTAAAACTGTAGGCCCTAGATTTTTTTGTATAATTATCACAGACGTATTCCTTTTGTAGGTTCAAGCTTACATTTATCAGTTGAGTCAACCTCACCCTTTTCCGGGGTACCATAAGTGTCGAACCAGATTTCATCCAAGTAAATAATTGGCCTTTGTTGTTCTCTGTAAATCCTAATTTTTTCTAGATATTACAGTCGCCATTTCCGAATTCTATTAATTATAAATTAATTATTCCATTAAAACTTGCCCTTTGCCAATTTTTTTAAATCTAAAACCCATGTGTTGCATACACTTCCATAAGGTAGTTCTGCCACATTTAACACCGGTTTCATATTTTTCAAGCCTCCTAATTAAGATATCTAATGTAGGCACGCTTTGTTCCTCGGATAACTGGTAAATTTTACGCCGTATTTTATCTTGATCACTTTCATCTACACTCGAGAAAATGGGATTATTCACAATTTTCCATACAGTTGATGTTGGAATTTTCGTCAATGTGGCCGTTTCTTCTAAAGATGCTTGCTTGCTTGCACCACGTTCAATGAGAGTCAAATAAACATTGTTTATAATTTCCTTTGACTCAATAGAATAGTGTTTTCTACATTTGGGCGGAGCATCTCCTGACATACACTAGACTCGCATATATTTTGCATAATTCGCACACGATTCAACACACGCTGTATTACACACACGAAATAAGAATGATTACTAATAAACTTAAACTAAGTAGTATACCAAACCAATGAATATTAAACACAGGTAGGTATAAAATTATTTTCTATTACGGACCACAATTTTACCTGAATTTAAATTCCGAAACTTTAGGTAATAATCTTGTTGCATTGTATGTTAATGACCACCCTTGGATAATCCCATTCAAAAGCAATTGGTCACTTTCTTATATTTATAAACAGACCATAACGTAAAATTTGACGCGCCTCTTCCGCGCATGCGCATTTTTTTTGTAACCAACGACCTCCAAAACTTATTCTGTCGAATTGACGAACTGTCAGCGGCCATGTTGGTTCCAACACCGCTAGGACTTCTTTTTCATCGTCGCTTCAAAACATCCGTTATTATCCGAATAGACAGGGCCGCTATATATCTAGTAGCTATATTGGTAACACAAACTCGCATGTGTTTTCCTTAAAAGTACCTTATTAGAGTTAAGGGCACCAACGGCGTCTGAGTGATGTCACAGCCTGGTTGTTCTTTACCGTCGTTTGGGTAGAAATCTAAATGTCCGCAAGGTTGAGACATTCCGTATCCTGTAACAAGTTCAATGTCGATTTTTATTTATCCGTCATTTGAAACCACGTGGGGAAGTGATTTTATGATAATGTTTATATTAGTCTTCTTCAATTTACTGTAGGCTCAAAGCATTGACTATATATTTTTTAATAAACTAAAAATGGAAAAAATCTGCACCGTGTCAAAATGAAATGAAGTCAACATTTTTCCTTTCAATTCATTACGCTTCGTTAGAGCATGTGAGCCACTTTTTTACAGTTTTTATGAGAATAAAAACAAATTGGTACTAATTTCTCTGGATGATTTTTTTTATTCGTCTTTAATTCTAATTTTATATATTTTCGTGTTATTAAAATTACTTTTTTTGATTCATATTGTAATAGATACCATGAAAACAAAAAACAAAAAAAAATTATCTAATACGAACTTGGGGAGTACGCCTCTGGTAGTATCCAGAAACGCTTGTTTAGCATAATATATAAGCAAATATAGTGTGTTATTGCGGTTTGCAGGATTTTTTTATTATATTTTGAACTATGACAGAGTTGTGTAATTTTGAATAAGACACCCTGTATAATTTTACGTAATTTTATTGCATCCGCTAAGGGCTGTGCGAGTATATATTGCAAAAATACTTCTTATAGTAGGCCACAAAATACAAATAATACTATTGTTATTATTATTATTGAATATTTTATTCAATACCTATATTACATAATACTTTTACATATTTAACAACTAGTTAGTTTTTGCCCATTAATATTAATTACCATCTAGTATCAAATAATTATTTTAACTTAAAAAGTTTATCCAAGAAGTATTTTTATTCGTTTTATCTATTTTCCTCTCGCAAAATTAGTTTAAAACTTGGATTACAGCTAAAGAAACCGCTACATTATATTGAATGCAGTAATGGCATATTTTTTTTGTTCTGAGTAACGCATTAAGTGATATAATGGTGCGGGCTTGCACACCTCTTAATTCCCTTTCAGTGGCATTTTACAGATCTTCCAGTGTATTATGCTGAGTCCCGTAGGAAGTTGTAAGTGGGAATGGGGTCTAAATATGGACATGTGATTTGAGAATTATGGGCAGGGTCTCCGTCCTGTTGAAAAAATATATTGCTTAACTGTTAAGATCATTTTCTTATAAAAAACCTTATCTCTGTATTTGGTAAAGACCAATGACAAAATTCTACCCTCGTTATTGGTGTCCTTATTGCAAATTATGAACTTAAATTTAAAGGTTTAAACTTGTGCTTTTTTGGAAATTTCTTGATCCGTAGATTTTGGAACGCCAAGATTATCCTCAATTTTTCTACAAAAATTTGTAGGACTGTTCTGTCGTCAAAACATTAATTTCAAAAAGGTCCAAAATTAATTAGGTTGGATTTTAGCAAATATTCTTTTATTGGGTTGTGTTCGTTTTGGATACCTTCATAATACATTTATGAAAGTTTCAAGAAGTAAAACGTACTTTATTATCCATTACACCTTTGCAAATACAGTTCAGATACTTCTTCCGTACTTTCGCTACACCGCACAAAACATCACTGCATGTCATATTTTTCAATACTTCCAAAGTCTTCGTTGGCAGCCATAATATTTAGAACAATGTAATTAACAAATTAAATGCATTAATAAAATTGAAGGAGCAATATTAAGGACTTTTTCATTGATAATTATACACAACTTTATGTCATGATTCAAAAAATAAAAATAAAAAATCTGAAAACACCCTGTAGGTCAGAAACGCAATGGTATAAGAAAATTCTGTTGAGCTTTCATTTCACAAAAAAGTAGCACCATGACCCGCAAAACGCAAGCCTTTGGTTTTACTCATAACCGTAATGACAACAAATTTCGGACATAATGTACAGTACCTACACTTCCAGAAAAGTATAGCAAGAATACATTAAATAATCTTAAAGTTGTCATTCTACTCTACTAATCCAAGCGATAGGTCAAAGGACTAACTAATTCTAACTAATCAAAAATAAAAACGCAGCTTACCTAAAAACAAAATACCTTTGCCATCCGTGTGTATGACGTCAACTAACTCCGCATCTGACGGATCCAGACGCACGTGTGAGGGCATACCCTTAAACAAAAATGTAAAAATAAGTCGACGTTGCCACTTTTGCCCACAAGTGGACAAAGCACAAGCAAAAAATTGCGAAAACATCTGAACGCTAACGAACTACACAAGGCTTATTTTTATTTTTCCTCAGTTCCATATCGGTAGTAGATACCTGGAAATATGGTTCGGCCGGATCCAGGCCGGTAATACGTCCCAATCCTGACACCATTGAACCTGCGTAACCGGCGGTGTGAGCCCCAAGGGAATGGCCGATGATGTGAACGTTTTTGGCGTCCATATCGTAGTTACTCTGTGAAAAAATTTGGCGCGTCTCACTCTAATGTACGAAGCGCAAATTGGTTTGGTGCAAACGTTTGGAGACAAGTGTCATTTTCATGAATAAACCGTATTAACTTTTGTTAAGTGACAGGAGAACAGAACGCAAAACATTTTTGAGCTCACCTGTTTCCAATATTTTAATATTAACCAACAACATGCAGCAGTTTATGGGCTCCTAATAAGTCGCCAGAGCTCGTAGGAATATACGAATGGCGGTTTGTCGTCGTTACTACCGTCACGTAATTACCGCAAACCCATATTATATTATTTGCGTTTATATTTATCGCTATAGCAAAAATTAAGAAACAAGGACACAACATTATCCAGGATAAGCCATTCCACTACCTATTAAAACGGATGTTATTGCAGAGATGTCAAGCTTTGGTTATAAATATCCAACTTGAATATAATGCGCATAATATCTTCGCATCTTCAATTCGGTTAAGCGGGTTTCACCGTTTTAACGAACAGGAACACAGAATCTAAGACGCCTCGTAGAAACAAAACAGCCTTTTAACATTTAGGGTACCTTCGCAGCTTCATGCTTTCCTGATATTTAAACCGAGTATATACAAAATATTCGAATTCGACGTTCTCGCCTCCGCAGGCTTGTTTTGTGCTTTTAGGCAAAATTGTGTTTAATTTTAAGTATGCTTTGTGATGTTTCTGTGTCCTTTTACTGTATATCTTTTTCGTTGTCTTCCACATATAATTTTTTGGCAGAATAACCCTGAACTATCTCATTTTTTTGACCATTGTTCGCGTAAGTCCGCAGTTTTGGGACAATTTTTTTTGCATAACCGATTTTCGTATCAGATTTGCATTCAATTTTATGTATCAAATTTAATTAATGTGTAAAATTGGCTCCGTTTTGCTAATAATTTAATGTATTTGCGGAGGAAGAGAAAGGAAAACACCAGCATTCTTATTTCAGTTGATAACTAACTGATCCCATACTTTGACAGAACGGGACTTTCTTGAATTACAACTGGAAATGCTACTTTTTCATCTTTGGTAAGTGCTAAGACACTGCCTTACAGGTTTTGGCCTATACCGTTAATGTGATACGGGACTTCGAGTTGTCGAAGTTTGGTATTCAAGCAAAAATTGATGCTGTTGTTTCAGATTTAGGGCGATTTTTAATTATCGGAGACCATTTAATAGTTTATCCATCCATAGTGTCTATACAATGATTGGTTTGTAAATATTAAAATGGAAGTGAAATGAGTGAGAGGAGTTGGAGTATGGAGTATGTATGTATGTACAAATATTAATTACATTAATTACCTAAACTTATTATTATAGGATCCCATAGTCTGAATAATTGAATAATATAACAAACTTTTAACTTTGTCTTACACCACAATCAGAGAGGACACGCAATTTTTTTAGGATTTATAGGTTATGTTTATCATTTTGAAGTCCGTTAAATAGCCTCCAATTATTTTTAAAAACACGCAAAGACAACACGCACAAAAGAAATCGGTTTGGTTAAATCCCAAACGTTTAAGTTACCAACCAAAGTGAGAGATGACTGGATCATGTATCAGCATATATTTGTTCAATCAATAAACAAGTGACAGCAGTAACCGGGCTTTTAATAAAAACCAAACAAGCAAGCATGTCTGATGACGAACTGATTCCAATTTTCAAGCAAAACCACGTAAGTCCAAGATTTTCACCAGGAGGCCAGACGTTTGGAGAGTAATATGTTAAATTTGCCGAGTATTGTACGTCTTCGACCTCTCGTCGTGTATGATTTCCTAATATGAAACTTGGAGTTACGATGTTTGTCAGGACATTTTCTGGACGTTCTTCACTGTCCGCCACATATAACTTTTTTTTAATGGCAGTCTGCCTGCGATTTTAAAACTCGACAGACAAACTTCAAGTAGAACAAGGTATGCTATCCAATAACATGGAGTTTTTTACTGCTAAATTTAATGTTTTCGATATTAAACCCGACTTCTTCTTTTTTTTAATTTATGGCAATGTTGCCCGACGATGAGGGAAGAAATTACACATAATCTGTGATATTTTTTATTTTATAAATATCCTCCTAACTCCTATGGTCTCCTGATACTTAAGCGAACTAAACTGTTGTTTAAGCTACGCTTAAGCCAGTATGCACGAACATCGAGTTTATTCGATATCAGTCAACAGCTAGCTGCAAATGCACCCAAACATAAGAAATTTTATAATAACAAAGGTCTTATGACCTGATATGGTCTATTGAAAAAACAAAAAAAATATCAATATGCTGTTTCAATGAGGCCCTGATAAAAACACAAAAAACTTTGTGTTCAGAATATGATCGCCAGCTACATTTTGTTTTAGGCCACATCGATTTTTATATTTCCACAACGTCGGCAATTCATAAATAAATAAATAAACTGAGCTTTTTGGTTAGTTTGCACTTAAGCTATCAAGACAGGTCAGGATAACAAATAGGTGTTTGTTTATTTTTATTATTTGATTGCTATTCACAAGTCTAAGTCAAAGTCAGATATGATCATGTCGGCCGCCTATGCCTTTGAAAGTAGAAACGATTTTAGCGGCGCCATATACAAAATTGAACCATAAGCTAACCGCGTTTAAAGTCGGCGTTACAACAGAATAAAGATAGAGGATCCCCACGGTCCGAAAATGTCAATTACGTTCCTAGCAAATTCACGTAAGGCCAAGCTTATAACCAGGATATCAGAGACTATGGAGAACTAAAGATTTAGTTGAAACGATGCCGCTCGGAAAAACGTTATCGAATAGAGGGGGATTTGTGTTTGTTTCCGTCGTCGCTCTCGCAGACCCGTATTTTCGAAAGCAAAACCACGTAAGTCCGACTTTTCAATCAGGAGAACAGAAAACGAAGGAGACAACGGGACGAAATATACGCGTAAGCATGGCAAGTTTATTTTTCAAGATGTTTTCGGCGACATGACAAATTTTTGATTTGATTAAAGTTGGGAAATATTTCTCCTACTTTAAATGCTTTTAGCAGACACACAAAAGTGTAGTAGGCATAGTAGTGTGACAGAGATACGTCAAAGAGAAAATAATAATTTTTGTTTGGTTATTTAAAAGAAGTGCTATTTGTTAATTAAAATATAGCCAGGTTGATTATCAAATGGCTTTCTTTTTAATACGAACGAAAACGAATTAGATTTACGTTTTAACTGCATTTTTTTATTCATCTAGAATACACAATTTTACTCGTAAATTTTCTATTGTTTTACTTAGAAAAAAAACTTACTTTACTTTTTTCTCAAATTTCAGTTATAGTTATAAGAAATAACATATTTGCACAACGAATTTAAATCATACTCTTTTTTTCATTTCACATAAAAATGTGGAATGTAAATTAGCTAAAAAGCTAACCATAAACTTTAATTCGCCATATATAATAAGTATATTTGAAATTCATGTACTTATTTGATCTTATCAATCTTGTTTGCGTTTAAAGTTCCGATTCATCCTATAATGGTCAGGAATTTTATTTTTTTATTCATACCTGGTATATGTGTCATTAGCTGGATGGAATTGTAAATTCCCGTCACTCAACTGATTTTTGTCCTATTTTCTGTTGATTAGCAATTAACGCGAGGAGTACGGCTAATTTTCTCTCAGTCCCTAGTATTTCGCAAATCTTACTTACTTACTACATGCGTCAACAAATTTTACCTCGTCGATGCAAAACCACGTAAGTCCAAATTTCATATCAGGAAAGCAGGAGATGCGAGGATAAACGCGAATCTAACGCTTTGAAACTCCAATCACTTTCGAATTTCATGCGTTCCTGATCTGCAAGCTTACCTCGAAAGATTTCCGAGAACCAGATTTTACTGACGGATCGAAAGAAAAATAAGCAACACCAGGTGCGGTTAACGTATTTTTTTTATTCAAAGCCACAACATAAAAACAAAGTTAAACGCTCAACTAAATTTATAGATTAGACCGTAATTCAGAGGTTAGCAGGAATAATGTACCTATTTTTATGTAGGTCATTAATTGATTTAGATAGGAAATGTCATAAAGTTTCATTTAATTTTGGTGTCCTACAGTTGCTGATGAATTACGTATTATCGTGAGGTCAAAAACTTTAAAGTGAAAATCCTACCAGTTTATTTGTAGGACAATGTGATCATTTGTTAATAAAAATTATTAGCAAGCTACAGTAAAAAATTTAGCATGTTGCTCATCACTTTTTATAAATAAATAATAGATACATACAACTTTGAGGGGGTGGCCACTGTATACCAAACCTATTTGTTTGTAGGCCAAATTTAATTTCAAATTATATATTTCAATATCTATAGATTTAACTAAAAACTAAACTGTTGCTGATCATTTTGGTATGGTAACTAAATTGACATGATTTTATACCTGCGCGTATAGTTAGCTACCTGCTACAACAATTTTCGTAGAGGAAAAGGTTGGGCGTCTTGATGAAATTAAACGATTTCCAAAGAATTAGCTTGTTGCTTATCATTTTGAAAAAAGGTCCAGGGCTCCCGGACTATCTGTTTTCTTTTTTATTAAATGCCTGTGAATGCCAAAATCAAAAGCAAACTCGAACTTTATAGAGAAACTTAACTTACTTTCTTAACAAAACTATTGAAAATATCAATCAAATAGTGTGTTATTTTTTCCAAATTTTGTAAACTCCGCTGCTGGATGCAGTACGTACATGTAGTTGTCTAACAAGGGCCATTCTATAACTACACATGCATCAAAAATAGCAAAGATGTGTCAGTCAAGAACAACGCTATCCTTTTTAAATTATTTGCCTAGAACGGAAATTTTTGCTTGAGATCGCACCTTAGATAACTTATGGGGATTGAAAGGATTAGAAGCAAAATTCAACACCACTGAGTTACAGACCATGTTTTGCACCACATTCCCAAAGAAATGTTAAAGTTTTAACTATTTAACCATGCATATGTTTTACATAGTACATACCACAAGATAATTGATCAAATGTCCGATTTCCAAACCCACGAGTCTCGTGTTTGCAGTGGCTTGCGTGTAAAGGGGTAGACTCCCCCCTGCCCAATCTACGACGATCACGTTTGCATCTTCCGCCCGCAGCAACTCGTCTTTCATGTCCTTCACCTATGCGACAACGTTACAGATTAATATTCCCTCGCAGAGGCGGAAGCAAGTTCCTGATAAATTAAATCGACTAAAATCACACGCAATTATTCAAGCGAAGCTTGCGACTGCATAAATGCGGAAACAGGACGTGCATATTACGAATGTAAATCAATTTCCTTCGTGCGTGAAAGATTTTCTTCCGTTCGACGTTTTGTTTTTCGATAAAACAACGACACGATGAATTTAATTTACTCAAACAATTGCCTACACGATGCAATTTTCATGGAAATATAGCCAGATAAATTAAACAGCGATTTTCTTGTGAAATTGGTTGGAATTTGTCCGTGGAAATCAACGGAAAGCGCTTGTTCTCATGAACAAAAAAGTAAAGGTAAAGGTAAACCGATTAAGTCGAATATTGAAGATGATCAATCTAAATATAAACTTTTGACTTCAATTTCTTTTTTTTTAGAAACTACTGATCAGATTAAAAAAAATATGCTGTTTCAAAGACGATTTAATATGCTTTAATACAAGTTTAAATTGATTAAAATTTATTTCTGCTCTTTAGGTTTAGCATAGTAAAATAACGGCACGAGTCAAATTAACTTTTTCTTATTACTAAAAACAAATTAGCAACTCAACACTTATTTTTTAATAATGGACTAGTCATAGACTAGTCATAGATCTAATCAAGTTGGCTGTTGTTTGTTTGTTGTGGAATGTTAAGCCACTCTTCCTCTACTGCAACAAAGCTCTGGGATGGAGGTTGGGGTACGAAGTCTAGCTTGAATTCTCTGTTCTAGCACATCTCATAAATGTTCCATTCGATTGAAGTCGGGACTGCATGCTGGCCACTCCATAACTCGAAAACAGACTTCTGTAATGTAATTTTGCAGGATCCTTGAGGGCGCGGCCTAGCATCGTCATGCATAAAAATGCAATCTTCGCCAATGTAGTTGACATATGGTACCACGTGACATGATAAAATATCCTCGATGTACCTGTTAAACCGCCTGCCCCTTGACCACAGGGTCGGTTCGTGCGTCCATTGAAATTGCACCCCATATCATACAGGAACCTACATCCATAAGGGCTCCGCTCTTCATTGCAGCATTCTGCAAATCGCTCTCCTGGTCTTCAGTACATTTTTTTGCGTCGGTCACTACCAAAAAGGCATATTTTGGTCTCATCTGACAACAGATAGGGGATAGGTCCAATGTCCAATTCAGATGATCCCGTGATAGGCGTGTTTGTCGATGAGCTGGAGTAAATTTTGGACCAATTGCAGTTGTTTTTGGGGTTAGGTTATTTTCCTTGTGTCTTCTTCTCGCTGTCCACTGACTAATAGCCACTCTTCGAACTTCATGGAGCTGTTGTTGCACTTTAACCGCATAAGGTGGCGATTTCTGATTATTGTTGACACAACAAAGCGGTCATCAGGAGCCGTTCTAATTCGCCTTCCGCCTGTTCCAGGGCGCTTAGTAAAGGATCCAGTCTCCTCATACCACTTGCGATTAAAGCGATAACTTGAGCGGCTTTTTGCGGTGTAGTATGCATCAAGCCAACAGAATTAAACGCCATCCAAATGGTTAAAAACGAATAATGTGAAAATTCCAGTTGCAGAGGCGATTAATTTAAGCCTATAACAAGTTCGTTACTATCACTATAACAACTGCAGAAACACGTTTCATTTCACATATTTAAACTCATACTAAAGCATATTAAAATGTCTTCCAAACAGCAAGTTTATTTTTTGTATCAGATGTGTAGTTTCTAGAAAAAAAAAACTAAAGTCATTAATTTACAGTGGGCCGATTTCTATGCACGCAAGTTTATATACGAAGTAATGAAAAAAAAAAACGCAAAAATCTAACTCAAATAGTGTCTTTTCGAGGGACATTCACTCTTATAACCCTAGGTTTAATGAATTACCAAATAGTATAAAAAATTCATGATTAATTTTAAAAATGTCAAGTATAGTTTTGGAAACTGCAACACGAAAGGTGTCAGTAGACGAGGCTTTAAATCATCTTCCAATGAAAAGGAAACAGTTCAGATGAACAAAATAAGATAATTTGAGCCTCCGTTTTTAAACCTATCCTAAGAAGAAGGTAGCAGCGCTAGGCAAGAAAAATACACATAAAAAGAAAAAAAAACCTAGCACGATCTGTGCAAACAGAGGGACTTACACTTTGGAAATAGTTTACAGTGGACATTTCTTAAATATTTAATGATAATAATACTTCACGCAGGTGTGTGGAAGAGGTATATGCAGTATATGTTTTAGCTATGTCATATGTAAAGGATCTTTCAAAAATTCCAGAGGTGTGACGTGGATGGGTGAGCAGGCCTTTAAATCTTAAACTTAAATTGTGAACGTCGGTACGAAAGCTGATTCTTTTGAAAAGATAGCGTGGAGACTTCAATTTTATAATTACATTACATTTATGGAGATATCGTCGATTTTTCATATTAAGTCATCGGACTTCCTTCAGTTTATGTATGACTAACAGGCCTGCCGCGTTTAATCCCAAAAATGAATCTTAGACAGTATTTCTGGATTTTTTGAATCCGCTCTAAGGCAGCCGCTGTCAGCCATGGGCAATAGACGACATCACTGCTACATTTGCTACAAATTGTTGCTCCGTTGCTCTTTTTGCATGTACTTTTCGCTATATTATGAGCCGAAGTAATTCTTATTTCTCATCTCGTACCACGTGACCTAAATATTGAATTTTTATTTCCTTTATGGTGTTCAATAACCCTTTAAACATCGAACCATTCGTCTGTAAAGATACAATTGGAAAGCTTCTATTCTTTTCTCTTTCTTGGGGTCTAGGGCACCCATAGAGCAAGGCAGAAAATGCATAATACCGTATATTTGGAATTCTAAGCTCTATGGTGAGATACGTCTGCAGGATTCCAGTCGGAGTTCAACAAGCGAACGGATGATATCCCGGAATATAGTGTCATCACATTTTTCCATCCGTGAATCAATACGTGAAAAAAATATATATATATATATATATATATATATATATATATATATATATATATATATATATATATATATATATATATATATATATATATAATTAAAATGGTGAAAATCTAACTAAACTCAAAATATATAAGAACTAAAAGTTCAGATTTTCACGAAATTATAAATTTGTGATGTGATGTGACAAAGAAACGGTGTTATCGAAAGAATTGTCATGTAAAAATATATAATTTCGTGAAAATCCGAACTTTTAGTTCTTATTTATTTTGATAAATGGATTTTCATCAAGTAAAAGCCTCGTCAGTTCAATACCTAATCGAACTCTTGTGATAAAAGTTAGCTTTGGTTAATTTCCCTTAACTACTTGTTACAGTTTCAGTTTCGATATGATTAACACCCATGTTATGTTATGTTACTGATAATATTATTTATTAGCAGTATATTTCATTTTGCGTTTTCAGATTTAGATCTAGCACAGATATAGAATGTCCTCGAGACCAGTGCTAACTGCACTGTTTGGACGGCTATATAATACTGTAAATAATGAAAACATGAAAAATTACGATTGCAATTGTAAAACTGGGATAACAAATATTCGAAAGCAAAAATCTATGTGTAAAAAATGTTCAAGAAGGAACTGTAGGACCTCAAGATAAAGGAATCGCCTCCAATCCAATGTTTACAAAAAACAATAAGCTTATGAATAAAATTCCAATAACTGAAGAAAAAATGGAATGGTTTATTAGAAAATTTAAATACATATTACTACTTCGTAAATGAAGGAATCAGCATGATTGCACAACATTTTTCCTAGGCAGAACGTCCAGTCCTTTCCCAATATTAAAAATGCCAGTGAAGAGTTTGTTAAACAAATGTATAGGTGTTTCAATTTAACCAGGAACATGGATTATAATAAAAATCAGTAAAAGAATTGATTAAAAAAAGAGTATTTCAATGTAACGTTAATTAATCCTAAATGTAGGAGAATAGTCTAAAATTAGTTTAGAGTTAACAAAAGAAATATAGTTATACAGTATTCCAAACTTTATTGTTATTGAAGCGCAGATTATTAAGTGTCGAACAAATAACAAACAATACGTGCATTTTTAACAGCAATTTTTGGCCTGATAAAAATACGTGCATTGTGTGCATTTCTGCTGGGTGTTACTTTCGGAAAAATCAAACAAAAGTTCCTAAATTCCATTTTTACCCTTAGCAAAGTTTGTTTTATGGGAAGGGAAAATGAAAGGGAGAACGGTTATCTTCCCAGACCCCCAAAACTTTCTACGAAATTGAATTTATCTCCTATGATGCGTTTCACGCCAAATAACTCTAATTATTGCGAATGTGTGTGTATCTGATATCGTGCTTAAATTATTATCGCTGGTTTGCGCTTTCGGAAATCATTACACGCGAACGAAAGTTTGTTTACAGAAACATGGCCACAGTATGTTTTCGGGCAGTATTTCCTAGTATGTGCACGACAACCAATTCAAGTTATGTATCCTATTTGCTAAGTTTTTTCTGCAGCGAATGTTTCATTTGTAATAGTAATTTCAGAATAAATAAAATTATAATTGAAAATAACTGTTCTCTTCGAATCTAAAATAGGCCCTGGAGAACGCTAAACATATATACACTTTGGTATTATTGGATCACTTTTTAATGAGCATTTAATGTACTCAATTTTAGAAGGTGATTGAGAGTACCCTAAATCTCGATAACTTTTTCCGCTATTAAAACAATAATAACTGTTTTTGATAGACATTTTTATGTAAAATTTAATAAAAACTGCCTTTTTGAACTAATGACTTGGAAACGATTAGTGTTCATTTAAGTGTTCAAAAAAACTTTTCAAGGGTGCAAAATTCTTACAGGCCTACACAACTGTTAAGACAAGAGTCGACTAAAAATAATATTGAAAAATGTACATTTTACCACCGATTTTAAAAATACATAATGTTGATACGTCTGAAGATAGATCCTTAATTCAGAATTCGAATACTAGTGGAGATTGTATATTTTATAATAATAATAATAATAAACAATAAATATTATATTATAAGTAGCAATACAAGATTGGCGACATTCGTAATTTGCGCTCTTCCATGCAACCACAAGAATAACAGCACCAACACCATAATTTTCACCAAAATACACACCCGCATATATATCATAAACACAACAAATAGACGTACATCATAAACTCATACGCTTTTGCTAGTTACGGGCGTATCTAATAAACAATATTTACGCTGTTTTGAAGGACTTTATTGTGGGGAGGGACGTTATAGCATAAGGAATTTCATTAAATAATTTAACTGCGTTATAGCTCAAGATCTCTAGGAACGCAATAGCTGTCATAGAAGTCAATATTAATAGCAAATAACTGTAATAAAAGATTACTTTTATAATATTTCTCAATTTTTCTAGCTGCTTGTTGCTAATCTAAATGATTATGATGTATTTTCACTATTTTTGACGCTGACAATGTTGTGTATGTAGAATACCTACCAATAATTTGAGCATAGTGTTAATTAATAAACATTTTATAAAATGAAGAGTTTTTGTCTCGCATAATTATTGTATATATTGTATATAACCCGCAAAAAAGGTTTTTTTTGGGGCAAGTAACACCCTGGTTGTACGATCCGATTTTTTAAATAAATAACTAATAACTCATTGAGTTATTATGTAAATAGATTTCATCATTATAAAATTAAAAAAATAATAACGTTGCTTAAATATGGCTCATTTACTTATTTGTTTATGTTATTTCTTGTAAAATTTGCCTTATTGTAAGTTGATTTATGGAATTTTTTTTACAAGCTCGCTTAAATCAACAGCTCAGCTGCGGAATAAAAAATTAACGCATTTTTATTTATATTTCGAGTCTCTTTGAAATAATACTCGTAAGAAAACAGATACTGGCTATTTTCTAAAAAATACTTTGTTTTTTATGTTAGAAAGACTTTTTTGAATATCAATTTGTATGTGCGTTTTTTTTGAAGGTTTTTAAGAAATTATATTATTATATTAAATATTTAAAGAAAATCAACCAAATAATACCGTCTAGATAATTCTTTTAAGAATTTATCGATAAATCAAATAATCAAGCAACGACAACACCCCCATTCTCTTATTTATATATGAGCAAAACAAAGATAAAAATCCCCATGACTAGCCGTCTTTTTCCGATGTAAAATTTGCCTCTCTTTTCGCTGTTTTACGAGAGCATGCTCCAATTAACTGTCCGATTCGTTTACCCCACATTAGTTTTTGACTCGATCGTATACATGAGAAAGCGTATTACATTGTAATAAATAAATTTAAATCGGTCAGAAATTCTTCCCGGAGCGAATTGCGATTTTACGTGATCGCCTACGTAGGACGTAGAAGACAAATGAGACCGCGTCTAGTTTCCCTTCCTCATTTTTCTGCGACCGAGACGTGTCCCGATTAAAATCTGATATTGAGTGAATGTAGGTAAATTACGGTCACTTTCGGTTCAGCTAAAATATCGCTTTCCTTCTTCGATTGTGTTTTAAATGTCACCGTGAGCGTGTTTAATTAGTGTTCAAAAAACATGGTCGGTCGCGGAAACTTTCAACTCGAACTCAAACCTAAAGTAACCAAAGACACACTACTGTGATTAAAGACTACTGAAAAATCTCCAACTTTTAACCAAAACTAATTTTTGGAATTTGTGGCCAATCTTAATTAGGAAACCAGGAAAGTGCCATTTTGTCCACAGAGGTGCAGCAATCTTTGAAATACATACATGCAAAATATTTTTAAAAGGCTCATTTTAGGCATCTTTTTTTGCTTTTCTGTTTCGCCTCTCTCTTTAGCAAGCGCATGAAAGAAACGGCCATATCGAAATAAAAATTAATATCAAGGAATAACAGGTAATTATTATTGTGGAAATAATTAAGAAGGTTGCTATTATTAGTTAATGAGTATCCGCTAAGATTTTATTTAATACCCTTACAATAAACGAACCAAGAATAAATAAAAACACAAAGTAATAAAGAAACTTGAAAAAAAAACCTTACCCAATTCGATAGGGGAGTGTCGATAAATCCGTGGATGATGAATTTAGTTTTCTTTTGGACATCCAAGTTGGATTTTTCTATAGATTCGTTTTTGGCTTTGATTACTTGACCCTGAAAAATTAACCAGTTTGATGTATACGTTCCCTAAATGTTGGATGGATATTTCTCACCTCGAAGGGGTTCAGTCGCGTATACAGTATAAACCTAGTATTTATCACAGACCTTGGCAAGGGGAAAACGTTGAACGGTCTGTTGATCAGGTGATACCAACTCCTGGTGATGTTGAGACACCCCAGTTCATCGTAACATCGTGTCTCATTTTCAACTGAAATAAATGAATCATGATTGTACTGTTAATAAAGGAAATGGCTATTACGTCGAAATAAAATAGGATCAAGCTATCGGCCGATGTATGAGATCAACGGTCTTTGACGTCAATGCCAAATTCACCCAATTGTTATCTTTTTGTTATTTGATATACGTAGCTGTTTGTACTGGAATTTCCAAACTTATATATAGGGCGGCCAAAGATAATCAAGAAGTGATTTTTAGAGGGATTTTAAAGATTTTGTTAAAAATATAAACTTCCTCCAAACTGTCCTCAAATGCTTCAAGATGCTTTCAAATGAAAATCGGTTTTCCATAAACATTTTAATAATCTTCGAGCGGATTTAATTGAAATGTAGCAGCGGTATTTACAATAGTTAAAAACTAATCTTGCACAAACTTTTTTAATTTTAATCAATATGTTATTATTATTATTATTATTATGTGTGAATTATATTCTAATTTTTATTGCTGAAACGACAGGACATACGAAGAAAAAGCTAGGAGACAAAAAAGTGTATTTTTAGTTGCCTACTAAAAGGAAGTCAGTGGCACATTTTTCTTGCTAAACATATATTTTTTTAATTCGACATTTTTGAAAACAAAGCATTTTCTTACTTGTCTTTAATTTCTACCTTAAAATCACTTAAATTATGACGCCCTGTTTCCCACCAATCGTACAAACACACTATTATTGCTATATGTTCGTCTTACATTGAAATTTTGTTGAAGTTTTCTAAACTGAAACTAATTTCTAAAAAAATCGCTTCTAAAATAATTCTTAGCTTGTTGTGGACCTAAAACTTTAATTTTTTTTTTGTATTGTACAAGGCACCAATGCTCGGCAAAATTAATATAAACGTAGTTTCTAATATTAAGTGGTGTTTAAATTTCATTATTCATAAAAATACGTTTTGTTAATTTCCATGATTTTTATTTTATTGCTAGAAAAGGAGGCAAAATGAGAAAACGACTCAAGAGTTCAAAAGAGTAACTGTCACTGATATATTTGAACTAAATAAGAAAAACTGAAATATGTCAGTGGCGTACAGCCCTTTGGCAGGACCATGCGACACTAGACAATTTCAAACTAGTTAAAGCAAAATTAGTCCTTGATCATTATAAATGCCAAATTTCCATAAAAAAATATTTAAAAATATTACTAAAAACGCGTTCCTTTTTTGATATCTAACTTAGAAACTGAACTATAATATAATAACAGCATCATTTTTTTTCAACGTTGTCTTACCTTACAGAATATAAATAATAATAATAAAAATAAATAATCATAATAATAAAAAATAATCCTCAGGGTACTCACATGGCAACCAAGGCAGATTGAAGTTAACTTCGATGCCGATTTTATCGGACCTGGCCCAATTGACATCAAGTATACCACTCTCGCAGAGTCCTATCGATAAACAAACCACACTCAACGCATCCAAAATTCCCATTATCCGCTTGTGGGGGTAGATTTCCGTGGACCGCGCCGAACAAACACATATAGAGTAACTACGGACTGACAAGACAGTCCTCACTGGGAAACACAACTGTAATTGCTTCGATCGCACTCCAACCTCAAACGTATGGTCACAGCGTTCGTTAGTGTTTTGTCCAGACACGCTTTCAGAACACAAAAAACTCGCGTAAAACCACCAAAATCGAGTCCATCCCAGGACCGTGACCTTATCGTTTCTTGCAAAATTCGGTTTCTGGGCGGTTCTAAACGTTGCACAATGAAATTCTCGGACCGACGCACGGAATGCTAACGACGATCTGATGCAACGGAAAAACTGGGTACCACGACGATCAGTGCGACGCCTGAAACGGAATTAACCAATAATATAACCATCGGCTGAATACTAAACGCAAAGTGACTTCTATATAGATAAAACGTTGTGAAAATGCGACATTGAAAGGCCAAGGTTTATTTTTTTTTCGGTTTTCTGTTTTCGTTTTTGAACCAAACGATTTTTACGACGATACTAGTCTATTTGTTATTAATTATCATCGCAGATTTGTCGTTTTTATCTTCTCGTTGGCTTTGGGGAAATTTTTACGTACATATTAATTGAGAAACTGAAGATAGTGATAAAACATGAATTCAAAAGTCTAAAACAGGCCTTACCTATATCAATAATATCGGCACTTTTGAAGACAACATCAAAAAATGTTGAGAAGGGACATTAAATATATGCGCTGCAACAATGGTAAACCTGTGACTTAAATCATCCAAGAGTATAAATTTGACAATATATTTGTCATACAATTCTCAAATAATTGATCTTTTTTATTTCTCAAATACCGCATTAAACAAAAACATGGTGTCAGAAGATCAAAAACCATCATATCCAAATCCAAGTTCGAGTAGCACAAAATCAAACAATTCCAATTCCAGCACTATATCAAAAAGTAGCGATGTACGACCTCTAAAAATATTGAACAATTCGCTTGAAAAAGCAGTAGGGTTTAATCTTAAGGACTATAGGATAGAATATGATGACCAGAATATTTCGAGATATATAGCAATTGGGATGCAGCCAAATATGCAGCCCAAGATCTATAATAGTCTTTCTAAGACCATTTCGAAAAAAAAAAAACAGCAACGGTAACATTAATTTTCAACAATATGGTTCACGAAGAATTTGAGACATTGAGTGAATTTTATATTTCCAAGGAATGGAAGATACTGTAATTATTTCAAAACTTGATTTCAACTAATAAGACCTGCCATCTCAAATCTCGCCCTACGCCCTACGGCGTTCCTCAATTAATATAACCGCTGACAGTTACTGAATTTGGTAGTTTTTACTGTTGCTGTACTATTTTTTAGGGAGTATGGGGATCCTTACTATATTCATATCAACTAAATATTTTCAAATATCCTGTATTCTTTAAAATAAAAAAAAAAAGAAAATCACACTCGCAAAAATAGTTTCCTTTGATTTTATGTTGTCGCGCCTAAGATTTCACTTCACTGGTGATTAAGGTTAACGCAATATTAGGTAGAATCTTTACTTTCATGATGAGAGGAAAATCCCATAAATACATGGAAATGGGAATTAATTATAATCTTAAAAATGTTCAAAACACGATTAGTTTTGAAGAAAACATCCTAAAGACACTCGAAGAAAACGATGTATAGCTATTAAATTATAAACAATTAATTAACTCACTAATCAAGATTAATGAGAAAGACAGCAGCCAGTAATCGACCAATAAAGTCAGAGAATTGCAGATTGGATTCTTAATAATAATTGCTTAATAATGAAAGTGATAATTTTCGATGAAAAAATTCATATTTTTGTATTCGCCAATTTTAAAATCTAAGAAACATTTCGGATGAGAATAACTATCCAATAGACTCCAATAGACAGTTAACAACACCTAAATGTTATTAAACCCATCTGTGCCAAAGTGTTAACATAAAAATTTTGTATTTGTATCCAAAACTTTCCTAAAATTGATCGTAAATGGGTGTTTCGTACAAAGCGCAGAAAATATCACTAAATGATCAATAATCACTACCATTCTTCAAAGTTCTTTCTGCTTAATTTTATCATTAATAGCCAATTAATTAACGCATGAATTTCCATTTTGTTATTAAGCATACGAACATTATAGATGTGTGGTCAATGATAGGGATCAATGAAAACGGTAGGAAATAAAAGTTACAACAGGCGCGTGATGCCTCGGCGCTATTACCACATCAAGTTACCCCAGCAGCATTTTAATTGTTAGTAATCATCGATTAACATTAACGCGTAGCGTTGCACAAGTAGCGAGTGTGTGGAAAAATTTAGATACACGTGGTTTACCTACTTTGTGTTTGAATATTTGCAATGCAAACACAAAAAAAGAGGACTAATTAAAAAGATAAACTTTAGAAAATGACAAGATAAAGCCTTCCGATAAAGCTGTGCTGTGCTTTTACTAACATCTCGCCGCTTCGCGCGATACTAAAAAATTATCAGGGTTCTAAGCTGGACGGACAATAACTAAGGTCACTTGAATTGTATCAGTGTTTGTTTTGCTAGCGGATTGGTTTTCTTACCCGAATGCTATTGGACCCAACTTTTGGGTGACAACAATTAAAATATCATGCAATATGGTCAAATTCAATGTTATTCTCTGAGACCTAACCTTCGCCAAACCTATTTTGGTCAATCAGCAATTTGAACCAATTTAATTTCGTTATGGACAGCACCTGCACTGGATTTTGATTTGATTTTTACGCTTCACTGAAGGTTACTTTGTTTAACGAATGTCCCAAATTTTGGAGTCACTTTCGCCTTGACATAACAGCATATTCGTTTTTTGGGTTTGTCTTCTGTGGTTCCACATCACTGATGAACGAATTGACGATCTCAGCGTCAGCGTCGATACATAAAAGAGACGAATTATTGCAAAATTCATCTGCGTTCGAGAAAATTCTGCAGTTTCGTTTTCACAATTACTACATACATGTTTACGTTCTAGATTCCGGCGAAAACTTTCTTCGTCTTCTTTGCGAGAAAACTTAACATTCTACTTTCGGAATGTATTAAGTACCTGCTTAATTTTTATTCTTCATCGAGACAAACGAAACCAAATTGCACATTATTCGCATGTGAACTATTTGTTTTTGCTTTGCTCCCAGAATTGGAAATGAATCGAAATACACATTTGTATATGATATCGCAAATTAGCTACTCTAGGCCTACTAGTTCGCCTAGGCCTATGGTTAACTTTAAGTTCAAGTCTAAAAGAAAAATGTATTTATACCACAAAATCTCGAATTGCACCAAAAAATATGTCAATGTCAAAATTTTATCAAATCCAAATTCTTCTTCAAGTACGTGAAAATACAAAAAAACAATTTCGGGAAAAGTTGTGTCTAATTTTAGTTTTCATAAATTAAAGTTTAAGCACAAAATTTCTGCTTAAAAATAGTCACTGATATTTATTGAGAATGTTGCAAAATGATTAAGATTGACTGCTGAACAGTTATGCCATATACTGTGCTTCAAAATGCAGAATAAAAAATGTAACATGCATTCTTTTGCAGCTGATAAAATAAGATGCAAAATGTTTTCTGCGCTGTCTAATTCTACCAATATAAAAAAAAAACAAATAATAAATACTTTAAATTGCCAATTTTTGCTGTCACAAGGATTTGTTTAGAAAACAGTTGAAAATGATTTCACAGCTCGGCCATTCAAATATTTGTACTGAATAATAGCTACTATATTTCGTAGAGCTGAAATTCCAAATAGAAATATTAGGTGAATTTAGACCGACTGCATCCTTCACTCCGAAGCATATTATGCACATGGATACCTTTACTAACAAATTCCTGAGACTCTATACCGCACTTATTCTACATGTTGGAACTTAACACGCACATAGAAAATACAGTTTTTTTTAACTTAACCAAATGTGGAGACGATCTTTCGATGAGAGACCACGAGAACGCAATACCGCGAGTATTGGAATACCGGGGAATACCAGTCCCACCACGATACCCGGCTTAAAGTGACTCGACTTAAACCACGCATCCTCGTTATATTTACCTTTCTTGGGTTTTGCTTTCGCGGTTGCCAAGCCTGAGTAGTTTTACCACATATATAGTAATACCAAATTATACAGATTGTCATTGGACTAAAGGCATTGTGAATAAGAGCTTCAATGAAGATATTAATTCGAATTTTAAATGCATATTCTATTCTACTCAATTGATCATCATCTGATGTTCACCCCTTATGGGAAATTTGGATCATTCATCGAACTCAATAGTCTTATTCGAAATATGGGAAAAAGTAGAAGAGAATTTGAAATGCTGTTCGCACGTGTCAATTAAATTAGTTCAACTATTCCTCCATCTATTGGCTATAGATTGTATTATATATTGATTACTATAATTATTATTGTTTTAAGACCCATGAATGGCTCATTGGGTATCCTTTTTGCTTTTATATTGGTTAAGTTCTGACTCCCTACTCTAAAATACAACATTATGAACGTATTAACCATGCGGAAAGTGTCACTTTAACGCGTCAGCTAAGTTAACCACTTTGGTAATGATGTTTTAAGGTGTCAATTCTGACAAGCATGTCACACCTTAGTCAACGAAGGCATTCGTGCTATTTTGCAAACATTTAAACCTAAACTAATTGTCGTAGAAAAAGTATAGTATGCAACCGGTTGATAAACTTCTTGTGTACCTGCATCATAGTTGACACCAATAAGAAAAAATTTAGCAGCATTAATTTTTAAGAACATACTCCGTGGTGTCGGTGGTCGACTTGTTAACTTGGCAACGTCGTACATGGTATACTTACCTTTTACGATCTCCAAATTGGATCGGGCAATATTCAGGTGACCAAAACATCGTTATTATGCAAGGGGCTCGGGTGAAAAACTTTCTCGCTGCCTGATGGCGGTGGGGGGACATGTTTTGAAAATGTACGGTGGATGACAGGCTAAACGTTTATATTGAACGAGACGTAGGACACATCGCACAGAATAAACCAAGATGAAATTTGGTCGGCCTGCAATTGGTTAGAACTGGAAACACTGTAGCATTTGCGTCCTGCTGACTGGAATGACCCAGAAATATTAAGGATCCCGAAAAGAAAGCAAATCGTTATAATAAATAAATTCTTAATCACTTAACTGGACATTCAAAAATTTTGACAATTTATGGGTTATTATGAATGATGAATGATTACCATGCCTAGTTTACTAATTCTACTATTTCTTTTGCTGTATACTAGTTCCTACTATTTAATATTTACTGTTTCTTTAATATTCCATTTTTACCATTTCCTAAATGCTGTTTT